CTCTCTCTCTCTCTCTCTCTCTCTCTCTCTCTCTCTCTCTCTCTCTCTCTAAGTGTAAAAAAGATTGCAGTAACACGTAACTCGAAATTAGTCACACATAGAGAATCTAATTGCAAAGTAAACAGCCGTGCTAATGACTAACCTGCTAAACGTCAAGTAAACAGGGTCCCTGTATATGCAGGGGCGCCATTTCATGCAAGCATTTTACGTGATCATTTCTGATAAAAAAAAAAATGATACGAAAGCGACTTGAAAACACGGGTGACAACAAAGCAGAACGCGCGAGCTGCAATTACCCTGCACGTAATTCGATTGGTATCGCGAAATTCGGGAACGAACGCGATGACACACATCTATGCTTTTACATGATGGAGTATAACTGGTGCATCGAGAGCCACATACATACGTACATACATGCGATTCCAGCCATATTTAAAGCGTCAGAATAAACGTGCGTCATCGTCGACACCTGCGTGATTCTCCAAACAATTAACCGTGACACGATTTCCACGTAAATCGATCATAAGTACACGGAGAAAACTGTATTTGCGTGCACACATGCATTCGTATATGCATGGATGCGTTCACGCATACACGTACGCACGCTCGCGTGCACATACTCGACACGTGGGCCATCGTCGAGGACAATCGGCGACGCGGAACGTTTGGCAGCTGTCCGATAACGAAACTCCCCCGTTGTTTCTCCATGAGTGCCGTAAAAATTCGCGAGACAAACGGACTGGGCGCGAATTGACTCAAGGGTGAATGAAAGCGTCCGTGAAAAAGATGGCGGGTTGACAGGTGCGGGCGTGCTATTTCTTTCCTGCCCGCGCTTTTGTTCCCAACGAGAGAGCCGATCGCGCGGGGGCTACCGTATGTCCCATATTTGAGTAACGACGACGGGAAATTCGAGCAGCACGTGCAGCGCGTGAACGATGATGGAAAACATCGAGAACGATGGAAAGGACATAAAAGGCGTCGAGCACGAAATACACGAGAAGGGTGTCGTTCGCTGGAGTTGCTTACAGTACCTCATCTTTTTAATCAGTCTTGGAATTCCCCGACGATGAGTTCAGCTTCTCGATCTTTCGACGTGGTGGCTGGCAATGACTGTCGAGACGTCTGGCTACTTGGACGAGTGTCAGCAAAATGACCACACACACGTATCACAGCTACGTCGAGCTGCTGTCAACAATAGCCACGGCGCGAATCCGTGACAAACCGGAAAGAAGCAGAAACTCAACGCTGTGAGAAAGTGGCTACGTGATACGAGCCGTCGTCGCTAGATGGTGCGATTTTCTCTGCATCGCTCCAGGTCATGCATAAAACATTTACCCTGAAAAATAAAAAAAACCAAGCCCGTCATAAGTCTTATCTGTTGTTCTGTCACTTGTGGAAAGTGAAAAGTTTCAGGATACAAAACTTTTATTTTCTATGAACTCAATTTTTTATTTGCAAATCTTTGGACTAGGGAATAATATGAAAATATAGAAATATAATAATAATAAAATACAGAAATATTGGAGAATATATTTTTGTAGCATAAATGAGATGATTGTTAATATACTAAAGCTTGAGAATTATATTTTTATTAATTGATTAACTATTGTGTTAATTATTATATTATAATTTGATATCGTCGTTATCAAGTGTCAGTATTATAATCACCGAATATTTGAAGTTTGCTCAAGCTGGTTCAGTCTTCTTACCTTCTCAGTAGTCTGTCTCCGCTAGATGGCTCTGCTGGTAACCTTATCCACTTAGCCAAACGCGTTTAGATCTATTGCGCGTCATATCGGACATAGAGGTGTTTGCAAAACACAGTTGATGTCTGTCACATGAAAAAAGGTATTTCAAATTATCATAACTATTTAAGATATTTATTAGGCATCTTGTATAACATGCGTCGATACAACAGCAGGTGTATTTTTAGTTCTTTTCTTTCCAAAATTTAGTTCACATGCAAAATCTTCATGCATTCGCGCTTCGTTCGAAGTTATAAACGGGCATAAAGATTCAAGTCTCAGTTGGCTAGACAATTGTATGACGTTCGTTGGTTAAGATGCAAACGACGATCACGGCATTACTTTTTTTAACATTGTACTCGAACCGGTAATAGTGCTTGAAAAACCATTGCAGTACCGCCAGGAGACTGTAAGAAGGAGAATAGAATTACTTCCATTCCTTTCCCTACCGACCGCAGCAATAGATTTAATGGTCGTTTAAAAGATACAGTTATAACACAACAGAATTGGAAAACCCGATAATCCCACGTCTCTCGTCTTACAAAACCTATTTCAAAACTTATCGTATTATCTGTATGTGCGGACTTTCCCCTCTTATTTTCTGCCCTTTATTATCGAAGTATCGAACATGGTTATCTCTCAGGTATAAAGCGATTTATACTCTCTCGTCGACGCAGAAAAAAGGATGGCAGCCACGACTTTTTACTATCATATTTGATAAATCTTTGCCAAAGATACTCCACATTCTTTTTGATTTTATAGTTCTCAATTTTCTCTGCGATATTACAAGTAACGTTATCAAATGAAAACCGAATGTGGCTGTACAAAAAAAGAGACTAATTAATGGAAACTAGCAGGGCTTCGTCGCTTTGAATTCTTTAACTAATTTCTGAGTTGCAGTGATTAAAAATTTAATTTTACATAATGAATAGCTGTCAGATTCTTTTACCCAGCTGGCTGCGATCGATACTTTGCTAATACATATCGAATGCTGAAAGACAGAATAAAAAATTTTAATAGCAGTCTCGTATTTTGCAATTTGATACTTTTACATGATGGGTTTTCATCGAATTCCTTTTTAACTGTTTATTTTTTACAAAGAACTGATTTAAAACATCTTTCAACTTGTATCATAAGTGAAAAATTCTTTACCTCTCTTTCTCTTCCTACCTCCCGATACATCATATCACGTTCATCACATTTACCTGCTATCTCGTTTCAGCCTGATGCCGTACTCCTGTCAACGCGAGCGACACGAAGACGACAGCAACTGTCATCATCGTCATCGCCAATGGCCGCGACGCTTTGTCACATTGTCTGTGTCGGTTGTCACTTTACGTGCCACGAACTGGGAGGTCTTCTGCTGTTCGAGAGATATGAAACATGTACGCCGTGGTAAGAAACGTATATTAAATCTATTACAAAATTCAGCTGCTCTGAATTTTGAAAGCACTTGTGTCTCGTTCAAGCTGACCAGGACAATTTAGTCCCGTTGCTTAATGATCGCGAGCCAAACGAATGCGAGACTTTGCGACCAATTAAATTGCACTTTTTCGCTCGTTTCGTTGCACGTGCTAAGTCGAGTCCGTGGGTCATTATTGCTTACGAGTCGGCGGGGATGTAATTAACTCTTTGCTTTGAACTCAACTGCGATTTTATCACTTGCGATCCGTTTGATAAAAAGCAAAAAGAAAGAAAGAAAAAATATACACGTACTCCAGCCGACGTGGCCAAACGGGGTTGCAGATAATCTGAAATTGACTAGCGTGTTTACCGCAACGCTTTTTCATAAATCGATCGTTCGTTTTACAAGGACAATATAACACAGGAATAATATGTATGATAATATGTATTAATAATATGTATGATAGAGAAACGGATGTGAGATTCTCATTCGTAGTGCTTTCGCTGGTTTATGTTTTCTTCTTGTTTTTTTATCGATATGCGCAATACGTATATCAGGAACACGCGTCTGTTTATACAAAGCAGTTTCGCAACGCGTTCTCATATCCTTCGGTAAACGCAGAACCGATTACGTATTTCGTATTTAATCATATCGTATGTGATTTATATTTGGTAATCATATTTGGTTTTTTATTTGATTTTTTATTTGGTCATGTCAATTACCTTATACATAGAAAAAAGAATATTCTTGTTTGGAGAATATCTTTATTGTTAATATTTTAAAAATAAGATTAAAGTGAGATTATATGACGTTAAACGAAGATAAATTAGTGTTCAATTGAAACAAATATAGTTAAATTAACATAATCATTTTCTCATAGAACATTACAATATTAATATCGTTGGTTATATATTATTAGTCTATAATAAGTCTATAGTCTAAGAGGAATATAGTGAAATTAACACAATCATTTTCTCATATATATAATCAATAATATTCTTATTCTTATTTATATATGAGAAAATAATCATGTTAATTTGACTATTCGTCTTGGTTGAAGACTAATAATATATAACAAGAGAAGAATAATATTGTAATATTAATATTGTAATATTCTATGAGAAAATGATTATGTTAATTTAACTATATTCGTCTTGACTGAAGACTAAGTAATCTCTGTTCAACGTCATATAATTTTATTTTAATATTAACCTTATTCTTAAAATATCAACAATAAAGATATTCTTCAAACAAGAATATTTTTTCCTATATATGCATGTGTTAATATATAATATTATATTTTAATATTTTATTTCTCATATTTACATATTTTTTATGTGTCTCCAACAAGTAAATTTCGCAGTCCGTAAACACAATTTTGGAAAAATGATGGGATTAAGTGCGCGATTATTTCGATTATTTCGTTCGCGTTACAAAATATTTTTAATTACTCAGATACTGTCTCTGAACATCACTTCGGAACAAGATGACATTTCGAAATTGAAAAAGGCGTGCCTTAATGGCATTAATTGAGAAAGAACAGTCCGCTTTGAAACTGCTTTCTTAACTGGGTCACTGCGCTTAGGGACGCGTCACGAATGCATCTAGTAATTAAACGTAACCCAGTTTACAGGTGAGACATTGTCCAAGTAGCGATAAAGACATATCGGGTACCGCGAGATCTTGCAACCCCGATCATGAGTTATCCTTTGGAGGCTTAAGCAACTTTAATCATGCCAAAATGCGCTATAGTTACATTGCGATATAACTTGATATCGACAACCTCAAACCGAATTGATCTTAATTTACAAGAGATCCGATAAATGCCGAAAATACTTAAAGAAGTTTTGAGAACTAAAACATACGCAACTGTTCTTTATATTTATGCAACTAAATAAATTGTGAAATATATATATTCTTAAATATTATTCTATATAATCTTAAATATTCGTGATAAATAAAAAAATAAATCTGAGAGGAAGAATATGTAATAAATAAAAAATGTTTATTCTATGGATACTATACGAAGAAGAATTTCAGTTCGTGCGACTGAATAGAGACCAAACAAAAAACTCGCTGAAAAATAATATCTCCGTTATTGTGTACAAAAATATTCATTTCAACATGCGACTACAATAAAAAATTCATTTGACGTAACCGGGAATAGAAATCTTTTACGGAAATCTTTCTGTTCTTACACAAACGAGTTTTTCTAGTTTCTAAATAACAGTCCATCTAGTCCCTAAGTAACAGGGAATTCAGTTACACTAACGAAATTGTTTTTTTCCGTATGTAGTGACATACATACTTACTTATATTAATTATACTCACATAAAATATTTATTCTATACTAATATTTTATATTAGTATAGAGAAGCTCGACGCGCGCTTGAAGCGGGTATATAAAATATCTTTTCGTATTAGTATAACTAATTATATATTATTTATACTTTAATATGAAATATTTTTCAAATAAGAAAATATACATTTTCTTAAAACCTTTGCTTTTTACAAAAGCAATTATTTATTCTGATTAATGAAGATTAATAAAGAATTTAAATTTAAGCAAATATGTTATTAGCGCCCGTCGAGAGAGAGAGAAAGAGAGAGAGAGAGAATGAATATTTTTTTTACTTTTTCTCTCAATACTTGCGATAAGGTAATTTCTTTTCGAGATATTTCATACATATAGTGAAAATAATCTAATTGTGCATTTATTTACTTATTATAAACAATTAAAAACTCTTCACAACTTGATTATTCCATCAATTAGAGCGTACGGTTGTATTACGATTATGTTACGGTTGTAATTAGTCTTGTTGTAATTTCGTCTTAATAGCCGGACATTAAGCATACCTCCTCCACGTTACGACTTCGTAACTTCGACAATTAATTGTTCGCGACCATTTGTACTTAATTATCGTAAATTCATCACTCGGCAATTTAGATCGCCCCGTAACGATTCTTTCAATAAAATACGCCAAGTGTCACTCGTTAACTAGAGATTCTACCGTTACGATGAAATTTGAGAAGCCCGTCTTATCTTGCTCGCTCGAGTATCTCTGTGAGATACGAGAGATCGAA